CTTAATCAGCCAGCGCACCCCTATGTCAGACTGTACATTTCCCTATTTCTGTTTCTAAAGTTCATTGTATGACGTCATAGTTTATATCTGTTCATAGCCACATAACAGACCCAGGACTGAGGCTGTAGACCCAGGACTGAGGCTGCAGACCCAGGACTGAGGCTGCAGACCCAGGACTGAGGCTGTAGACCCGAGGCTGCAGACCCAGGACTGAGGCTGTAGACCCGAGGCTGCAGACCCAGGACTGAGGCTGTAGACCCAGGACTGAGGCTGTAGACCCAGGACTGAGGCTGTAGACCCAGGACTGAGGCTGTAGACCCAGGACTGAAGCTGTAGACCCAGGACTGAGGTTGTAGACCCAGGACTGAGGCTGTAGACCCAGGACTGAGGCTGTAGACCCAGGACTGAGGCTGTAGACCCAGGACTGAGGCTGCAGACCCAGGACTGAGGCTGCAGACCCAGGACTGAGGTTGTAGAAGTGGCTCCTATACAGGGTGGGGGGTGTAGCCCATGGGTCGGGAGCAACCAGCTTTAATTGCAGAACCCGATGTTTGATGTTGAAAGAGAACAATATAATTTCTCACTTCTACCACCATCAAACATATTAGAATTATCTGACGTTGTTGTGTTTGTTGCAGATCTACAAAGTCCATCTACAGAATGGGGTTCACCTGTGATCAGTGTGGAAAGACCTGCAGCTCTGCTTCTGATCTAAAGAGACACCACAGAACTCACACTGGAGAAAAACCATACGAGTGTGATCTGTGTGGAACATGTTTTACTACAAAACAACGTCTCAAGGGCCACAACAGAATCCACACTAGAGAAAAACCCTTCAGCTGCGACGATTGTGATCAGAGTTTTAGACATGAGAATACTCTCAAAGATCATCAGAGGATCCACACAGGAGAGAAACCATTTGAGTGTGACCAGTGTGAAAAAACATTTAGGACCAAACAGCTGCTCTCACTACATCAGCATGTCCACACAGGAGAGAGACCTCACCAATGTGACCAGTGTGAAAAGACTTTTACATGTTTATCTGACCTCACTGTGCACTACAGAATCCACACTGGAGATAAACCATTCGTCTGTGGAGACTGTGGGAAGACGTTTAGTCGGTCTTCCAGCTACAAAGCACATGAGAGAATCCACACTGGAGAGAAACCCTTCAGCTGCGACGATTGTGGTCAGAGTTTTTCTCAGAGTGGTTCTCTCAAAATGCATCAGAGGATCCACACTGGAGAGAAACCATTTGTCTGTGGAGACTGTGGGAAGACGTTTAGTCGGTCTTCACACTACAAAGCACATGAGAGAATCCACACTGGAGAGAAATCCTTCAGCTGCGACGATTGTGGTCAGAGTTTTTCTCGGAGTGATCATCTCAAAGTGCATCAGAGAATCCACACTGGAGAGAAACCCTTCAGCTGCGACGATTGTGGTCAGAGTTTTTCTCGGAGTGATTCTCTCAAAGTGCATCAGAGGATCCACACTGGAGAGAAACCATTTGTCTGTGAAAAGTGTGAAAAGTGTTTTACTCATAGGATTTCTCTTACTAAACACATTAAAACCTGTAGAGAAGCAGGTCTGAAGCAGGTCTGAAGCATCTGGACCAAAGTGAAGGAGACAGAGCTGAGGCTGCATCCTGTGAACCCAGAGTCAGACTCTACAGGATCTCACTTCAGTCTTAACTCCTGGTTTGGGGAAAGAATCCATTCTGTTCAGTGTTTCATTTTCATGTTTGACTTTTCTGTTCCTTGTTGTGACTCTATGATGTTGGTTTGTTGTGTCTTTTGTCACAAGCTGGCTCTGGGCCTGTGACAAATTGAGGGACAGACAGGTGTGGTCGTTCAATATGTTTATTTTAAATAATAAAGACAACAACAAAAGATAATAAAGAATGAGGTGTGAGTATGTGAGCCGTGGAATATGTTCAGTGTGTGCAGGTCAGTGAATGAAAACCAGTGTATGTGTGTGTGTGAAACTAAAGCTAATTTTAACAAATGATAAAACAAAGAATAAAAGTTCCAGTACCTGGAGGGAGCAGAGAGAGAGTGTTAGTAAGATACACATTTATGCACAGGTGCCCCAATCACTGGGTCCGCCCTGCCTGAGATAGAACCGCCCGCAGGTCAAAGAGGGAAAGGTGCAGACCCAGGAGGGAGAGGAGCAACATGCTTTATGAATGCAAGGGAAATGTAGGTACCCCAGCTTTAATTTAGTGAGTTGTAGTTTCAGGGCTACAGGAGACACGGGGACACTTCCAGAGGCTCACATAGTTCAGCGCCGGTCACATGGGAATGAGTCCGCTGTGGCACCAGAGCATGTGGAGGCCCCCCCCCCACTATTTGAGAAGCACTGCCCTAAACATTGTGTTTTCAATTGTTACTGTACTGTAGTATCTATTGTGTGTCATGGATCCTCCATAGAGTTACTCATGTTTGCATTGAGTTGTGATATAACTGCATTTTCTACTTTATGTACTGTAACTATTCTCATGAAACACACAAATCTATAGTAAATGCCCAAAACATTTGAGAATTAAAAAAGTGTTTAATGTGGTTAATGATGCTCATAGTGTTCACATTTTTGCAGACCATGAGAGGTGTTTTGGTGAGATGGGTTGGTTTAGAGAATATGAGTCACTGTTTTGGTGAGATGGGTTGGTTTAGAGAATATGAGTCACTGTTTTGGTGTGATGGGTTGGTTTAGAGAATATGAGTCACTGTTTTGGTGTGATGGGTTGGTTTAGAGAATATGAGTCACTGTTTTGGTGAGATGGGTTGGTTTTGAAAAGAGACTGTGTTGTTGTGTGTACGTAGCTTTAGAAAAGAGGTTTGTGTTTAGAGTTTTGAAAAAAGGGAGGGCAGTATCGTGAAATGTGTTTAAGCAATAGAGAAAAACTAAGTTCCTGTGTCCTGATTGTTCAAGGATCACGCTTTTGCACTTCCCTCAGTGTTTGCTTCAGTTCAAGAACAGATCATAATAAATGACATTTGAGTTGAGTCTTATTTTCCTCCATGTTTGTAAAGTCTTTGAATAATATGAAGGACATGAATCTCAATCAATCACAGAATCAAATCACAAAACTGTCGAATATTGTAAGAATCTCAATAATATTGAATTGTGACAAATATCACTGTTAAATGTCTGTCACTACATTTCCCATGATGCACCTGTTAATATTGTAGTTCCCCAGGGTCTCCCGTAGCCATGTTCAGAGCTGTTCTTTACAGTGTTAGGGGCGGAGCCTGTGCGCGTGCGTCATGCCAACCATCAATAATCCTGTGTGTATAAGTTCTGTGTGCGTCTATGCAAAGTGAGTACCATGTGCCAATCAAAAGGAACACAGGTGTGCTAATTAACCAACACAGGTGCAACGATGAGCCTGAGTTACAGCAGCTACAGCACCATCCAGTGGCCAAAACAGAAAAGGCAGCATGGGCGACACACTTCTCAAAACTATGAGTTCAACCTCCACAACATTGAGTCATGTGTGACATCATCGCAGCAGTTTCTCCTTTGAACAGATTACAAATGCTTTTGGACATGTATCAGTTACTTTCATACAATTCTCTGTGTTTTAGAACATTATCATTTGCTTCTGTCCTGTCAGTCAAAATGAAACATACTTATGACTTCTGAATAGTCATTCCCTTAAAACTAATAGTCCTCATTTCATGGCTTTAGTGTCACACACAAAACTGTTGAACTAGTTCAAAACCAACATCTGTCAAACTCATTTCATACATTCTTTATCTTTTTTTACTGAACATCTTTCAGCTTCACTCACTCACCAAGATCTGACTTTTTTACATTGAAAACACAGAGAGTAAAGTGCTACAATGAAAACACAGAGAGTAAAGTGCTACAATGAAAACACAGAGAGTAAAGTGCTACAATGAAAACACAGAGAGTAAAGTGCTACAATGAAAATGTTGCACTCTTAAATGACCAAACAACAATACAAAATAGTCCGTTTGCAACGTTTATTGTCCACGGTTCAGAGGCATATTTGAGGCACGCAGGGTGACAACATCATGAACGCACCTGTCAACACTCACTAGTTCGGAGGTGGGCGTGGTTGACCTACATTTGTAGTCTAGCCCCCATTCATAAATACGCACATTTATTTATATGACTACTAGTGCAAATAAGTACGAAATATTGAAATAAATTAACAGTGAATTAACTTATTACATTACATATTATATTTGCATGAATTCATAAATTTGGAATTATTAAAAACACGAAATTGGATACATTTTAGATGGGCTACACCCTCCCCCACTAAAAATAGAAGTGCTCCCCATATCTTTTTTTTTTTCCTTTAAATATCCACAGTGAATAAAGAACAAAAAGATAACAGGTAGGAAACAGGTAAGTATTACACACTATATTGTACATTTAAAAAGCTCTTAATTATTCTATTTAAAATGTCTTTCAACAATTAATCTCTTTATGGCATTGATTTCTAACTCTGTTTAGTCCATTTCAAATCAACGGGTGTATTAAAGTCCAGCGAAGAATCAGTGGGCCCCCCGATCCTCACAAAATGGGACAAGGAAAATACTTGTTTCACCCAACATAATGTAAAAACATCTTTAAACCATAACAATTTCCCTCTATTTGCTCTGTGCTTTTTAAACACACCAAGTTTACACAGTACTCAATATCCTCTACCGATAATCTACAACCGAAAGACCCTTGAATTTAACCCATTATTTACAATAGCCCTTCTAAATCTCGTCTAATACATTTGAAAAAGGATATGTGTAGGTTGTCTTGTAGTTCTCCTGGACACCATCGACTCCTCCCTCTCGGCTGTCTTGCTCTCACTGATCTTCGTGATGCCTCTGGAACATTTACCGGCTCCTCTTCAGACTCTGGCGACGAGGGTTGAGGACCTTCTTGGGGCTCACAAACTCTCTCAGGACTTTCTGGAATGACTTCTGGCTGGCAAACAGGCGTATTTCTTCCTTCACCGTCTTCCATGTGCATCAGTTCCCTGGGTGCTCTTCTTGGGAGTGGGCAGACAGGATGTTGAGCTGTCCAAATGCTGAGTTCTTCCTCACTTGAGTCTTCAGTGTCGGCCGCTTCCGGTGCTGGATCGGATCTCCGGCTTCTCCCAACTCGAGCTTGGCAATGTGGTGGGCTAGGCTGAGGAACCTCGGTAAGCGGTTCTTCCACCAAGTAAGGACAGGGTAATAAGAGATTGCGGTGTAACACACGTCTTCTTCCCGCTCCTTGCAGAGGCTCAACAGCATAGACTGGACTGTCTGGACCTCTCCGCTCTTTGACCACATAGACAACCTCCTCCCAGTAGCTCCGCAGCTTTCCCGGACCACCTCTCGGAGTCAGATTTCGAACCAACACATGGTCACCAGGCTGTAGTGAAGAACTCCATGTGCGCTGGTTGTAGCCTCGCTGCCCTCTTCTGGCAGACTTCCACATGTTCTCCATAGCTATAGCATAAGCCTGCTGCATGGCCTCTTTCCACTTCTCTGCATATGCCACTGGAGACAGATGTTCTTTCTGCAGCTTCCGAGGAATGAGAAGATCAATGGGCAGAGTAGGCTCACGCCCAAAGAGGAGGAAAAATGGAGAAAATCCTGTAGCTTCATGAACAGTTGAGTTGTATGCATGGACTACTTTACTCAGACGTTCTTTCCAGCGTGTCTTCTGAGTGTCAGCCAGTGTTCTCAACATACCCAACAACGTCCGATTAAAGCGCTCTGCCGGGTTTGACTGTGGATGGTAGGGCGATGTACGGCAGTGCTTGACCCCAGAGTAACTCTCGAGCTTGCGGAAGAGCTGGTTTTCGAACTCTCGTCCCTGGTCATGATGGATCCTAGAGGGGAAACCAAAGCGTAAAATGAAATCATCAAAGAGTTTTTTGGCCACCGTTTTACCAGACTTATCTCTTGTGGCATAAGCTTGCGCATACTTAGAGAAGTGATCTACCAACACAAGGATATACTCTTCTCCTCCACTGCTCTTCTCCAGATGCAGGAAGTCAACAGAAACCATCTCAAACGGGGCACATGTTTTTATACTTTGAATTGGCGTTCGAGTGACTCTGTTTTTTTATTTTTTATTTTTTTTATTTCATTCATTCAAAAGTGACATCATGCAATCACCACAAGACCGCCAATCCAACATAGCATGAATGAAACGGAGCAGAGGAGAAGAACAAGTCTTATAATATCTGCCCCTTTTGTTGCTTCACACTTTACATGCTGTCTTTTAAAAAATGTGCATATATAAATATATATATACATACATAAGGTTACAATCATATACATATTTACAGTATTTTCTGATGTTTTTGTATTCTATATTTAATTATTTACAATATATACAATAAAATACCGAACTGTCATATTCCTAAAATGTTTACAAATGGTCAAAAAAGAAACAAACCATATTCATGTTTGTTTGTTCAAATCAAATATCTCACATTATTCCTGTCCAAGTCTAATTTTCATACTTCTTTAACATTGCAGCTTTTATGTGTTTTTTGAACTCCAAGAGAGTTCCTGACTCTTTCACTTCTTTTTGAAGTTTATTCCATAGACTAATTCCTGTCACTGTAACAGTTTGTTCCATTGCTTTCGAATTGAACCTGGGTTTTTTAAAGATGTCTGTGCCTTTCAGATTATATTGGCTTTCTCTTTTCTCATACCTTATTTGGATGTTCACTGGCAATATTTTTTGATTTGCTTTATACAAAACCTGCAGGATATTGTAGTCAACTATATCCTCAAATTTGAGTAGCTTACATTTAATAAATAGTGGATTTGATGGATCTCTATATCTAATATTATGTATTGTTTTCAAAGCCCGTTTTTGTAGAATGAACAGTGGCTGTATATAGGTTTTATAGGTTGAACCCCAAATTTCCACACAGTAAGTTAAATATGGCATAATCATTGTGCTGTATAAAGCAAGTAACGCGGATTGATTTAGGGAGAATTTAACTTTATGTAACACCGCAATAGATTTTTCCTCTTGTGTAATTTATATGTGACTTCCATTTGAGGTCCTCATCAATGATGACGCCTAAAAATGTAGTTTCTTGAACCCTTTGAATTTCCGTACCGTCTATTTTTATTGGTATATTCAATATTTATTCATTGAATATTATAAATTTAGTTTTTTTAACATTGAGAGCCACTTTATTTAGGTCAAACCAATGTTTTATTTTTTGGAGTTCTTCGTTTACTACTTCTGTTATCTCCTGTATGTCTTTCCCTGAGTAAAATAATGTTGTATCATCGGCAAATAAAATACTTTGCAGTTTATCTGATGCTTTTACAAAGTCATTCATGTATAATATGAACAATAATGGCCCAAGTATCGAGCCTTGGGGAACCCCCCAGTTGATGTCACGTAAGTTTGATGCTGTGTCATTTATTTGAACATATTGCTTTCTATTTTCTAAATAGCTTGAGATCCATTTATGAGCGATACCTCTAATTCCATATTTTTCTAGTTTCCAAAGTAGTCTTGAGTGATTAATTACATCAAATGCCTTTTGTAGGTCAATGAAAATACCTACACAATTGTTTTTATTATTTTGCTATTTTTTCAGTTAACTCCATTATAGCCATTGCTGTAGAGTGATTTTTCCTGAATCCATACTGACTATTGATCATAATATCCTCTTTTTGTATGAATTTGTGCAATCTTGCTGCAAACACTTTTTCTAAAATTTTTGAAAATTGTGGCAATAAAGACACTGGTCTGTAATTTGAAAAATCATGCTTGTCTCCATTTTTGTAAATAGGTACAATTTTAGCTTTTTTCATTTTCTCAGGAAAAGTTCCTGTTGACAGATTACAGATATAAGTGAATGGTTCAATAATAGGTTCAATTATGTTTTTTATGATCATCATGTCTAAACCTTCACAGTCAGTTGATCTCTTGTTTCCACAATTTCTCACAATTTTTCTTATTTCATCTATTTCCACATTGTCAATGAATATACTGTTTACATGGTCTGTGATTGTATTTTCCGTTTTATGTGTTATTTGGGGTATTTTTTCTGCAATTGTAGATCCTACATTTGCAAAATATTTACAGAACTCATTTGAAATTTTATTTACCTCAGATATTTCAATATTTTCTTTAACAAAATAATTTGGGTATGCGCTTTTGGTGTTATTTCCTTTAACAACAGAGTTAATTATTCCCCATGTAGCTTTAATATTATTTTTGTTCTCCTTTAGTTTTTCACTATAATATTCCTTTTTCCTTTTCCTGATGATCCACAGTAATTTATTTTTATACTTCTTGTATCGATTTTCTACTTCTTTTGTTCGAGCTTTTAGAAAACATCGGTAGAGATGGTCCTTTTTACAAGCACTTTTAATCCCTTTTGTGATCCATGGTTTATCTTTCTTTTTATTGTTGTAATATATGATTTTACAGTTTTTATTATACAACTTTTTAACTATTTCTATGAAAGAATTATATGGTTCGTTGACATCATTTACATAAACTGCATCCCACTTCTGTTTTTTAAGATCTTCATTTAGTGCCTCTAGGGCTTTTGATGATCGGTTTCTATTTGCCTTCTTCGTAATATTTTGCTTTATTTTTTGATTGTGTCGAAATACTAAAAAAATGGGTAGATGATCACTAATGTCTGTCATCAATATCCCGCTCATAACAATTTCTTCATTCATATTTGTAAATATATTGTCTATCACAGTAGCACTTTGACATGTTATTAGGCCCGAGCCCCGAACGGGGTAAGGGCCTATTGCTTTCACAATGGTGAAAACAAATGGTGGCGGTGCGTGACGGACGCGTCAGCGCCCGTCACTCACCAAAACGTGACGGTTGCGTGTGTAAACTCAAAAGCTTTAAAATGATGTATCAGGTGCCATTGAAACCTATATTGTTTTTGCTCGAGACGTTAAAAAAAAAATTCCTTTTTTATTTATTTCTTTCTTTCTTTTTTCTTCTGCACTTTGAGCCTTAATTTGACCCCCTGAACATGCATGAAAAGTTGTTAATTTTGGCCCAAAAATCAGACCTGGCGAAAAATTTGATATTTTGGTGTTTATTTTTATGGGACTCAAAGAATGACAGAACAGCGCCACCTACAACAGCCAAAATAATACCCCTATGGGACTTTTCGGAGGTCAAGTTTGTCGTAGAAACATGAAATTTGGTACACATGTTTCTCAAGTCAAGACAAGAAAAAAATATTATTATGGCCCCGCCCCCTGACAAACAGGAAGCCCATAAATTTCACTGCAAAATGGAAAAATGAACTGCAAAAGTTTTCATACATGTCGGTTGGAAAGCGACTCCTCCTCGGCCGTTTCACCGATTCGCCTCAAAATCGCTCCACATCATCTCAACACATGTACCTTCAAAATGACCTCAGGGATTTTTGATCAGTGAAACATTGTTCGAGCAGCGGAGCGGCAAAATGTGACCTTTTTTTGGCCGTTTTTGACAACATTAAATTTGCTCCCGTTTGCACAAACAAAGTCTGATTTGCACAAAACTTTAATACATTGTTCAACTCTAGGGTCTAGGTCATTTGAAAGTGAAGTGATTCAAATTGACACATTAGCGCCCCCTACAGACTATTTCAAAATTTTAGATGGGCATTTTCAAATTTAGTTTTTTCAAAATGTTTGAAATTTTGTGCATAAATCTGTTTTGCCCTCTTGATTCAAAAAGTCAATAGGGTCCAAGGCTTATTTCTTACCCTGTTGCCGTGGCGACGACAAACGCTCCCCATTCATTGCAAATGTACACCTCACACAAACATCAAACCAGCCTTGGCCGTTTCACAGATTCGCGTCAAAATCGCTCCACATCATCTCAACACATGTACCATCAAAATGACTTCAGGGAATTTTGATCAGTGAAACGCTGTTTGAGCAGCAGAGCGCCAAAAACTGGCGTATTTTTTTTCAGTTTTTGACAATAGAAAAATTGCTTCCGTTTGCACAAACAAAGTCTGATTTGCACAAAACTTGAATCCATGGTTCAACTCTTGGGTCTAGGTCATTTGAAAGTTAGAATTTTGAAATTGGCTCTATAGTGCCACCTACAACAGCCAATTTAAAAATGCCTATGGGAGGGGTTCGAGGTCAAAATTTTCGTAGAACCATTTAATTTGGTACACATGTTCCTCAAGTCAAGACATGGAAAAAATGTAATTATGGCTAATCCCTCCGACAAACAGGAAGCCCATAAATTTCACTGCAAAATGGAAAAATGAAAACCAATCATTCTCATA